TTCCCATTTGGGAAAGATCTAACTCCCTGTTTCTTATTATCTTTTATTTTTCTCATTAATTTATTTATATTTGGGGTTCTCAGATAAGAAAAAACATGTAATTTTTAAGCTTGTGTGTTTTATTTCACTCAACATTCTGATCTAAAGGTGCACTTTTCTTTTAAAGTAGTCTCATCCTGTTGCTCACACTGGCCTTAAACTCTTGGGCTTAAAGGATATTTTTGCTTCAGCCTTCCAAGTAGCTGGGACTACAGGAGCATGCCGCCATGCATACCTCTCATTCCTATTAATGCCTTTTAACATCTCAGAATATTATTGTGTAAGGCTAGAAACCTTCTTTGTGTTGACCTGAATGCTTACATATTCATTTTGCAATAAGTCATTAAGGACACTGTTTGTTGTTCATGCAGATACATATATTATTTCACAGTAACAAAAGATTTAAAATGTGGGAGGGGATTAGGGCTGGGAATTTACCTCAGTGGTAGGTGCTTGCCTAGCATATATAAGGCTCTGAGTTCAATCCTCACTGTCACAAACTTTTTTCTTAGGCTTAAAAGATGCTGTAATCTATAGGAACATATGCTTATATCTTGCTTGTACTACCCTTGCTCTTATTACTCACCAAGAAAATCTAATAAATGATTAGCTTCATTGCTAGGCAGTGTGGAGCAGTCATGAAAGGCATACTTAATCATTCATAATAGAGACACAGCCCTGTTTAGTTTCTGGATTGTCATATTTTATATGAATTAATTAGGAGAGAAAATGCTGTTAAAACCAACTTAAGGATGATTATCGGCTTTTCTAATTCATGATGTGAGATGTGTGGATGAGTATGTTAGTCAGCTTTTCCATCCCTGGACGCAATACTGGATGCTCAAATTTTAAGGACGAGAGGTCTAATTTGGCTCGTGATTTTAGGGAATTCAGTCCAGTCTGTGGTTGACTGACTACAAGGAAAAAGCATCATGGCAGAAAGGCATGATGGAACAATGATAGCAAGCAGAACAACGCAACACTCCAGAGAGAAAGGGGTGAGGGACGAAACATAATTCCCGAGAACAGGCCTCCATGGCCCACCCAGACACTGCCAGAGTGTGCTTTACTGATCTCCTGGGTGGCTCCCAAGCCAACTATGTTGACATAATCAAATTTAACAACCACAATGGACCCGAATCCACAAAGGAGGATAGAACTCGCCAATGACATGAAAAAGATAGGAAGGATTCTAAATATGTTTATACTCCTAGCCAGGCAAAATTCATCTCTATCTCAGGAGCTGTGTCAAATAAGATCTATTGGGTAAAAATGATACGATATTCAAATATGTTGGGAATAGTTATTGTGTGGGTAGGGATGCTGTTTTCCTTCTGTAAGAACTTCATTTATCCTATTATCAGATGACTGTTTACTCAAGGTTTGTATGTTGCTCCATTTAAGACAAATCTTTCATTAATAAGACGCTGGCCTTATTGCCTACACACTGCCAAGACGATTTAATGGAACAGTAATAAGAAGTGAACAAACACGTTCCTGCTCTGGCCATATCTACTGCTATTAAACATTTGTCACAGGATTCCCTTGCCTTGCTAGTGCAAAATTAGCATCTGTCTGCTGCTAGAATGAAATACACTAGAGAGTTTGAGGCCGCAGCTCACAATGAGGCATGAAAAATAAAAAGAAGACAGCTCACCCAGTCAGCGACATTCACACGTAGATTTAGAGGGTGCATGGCAGAGCTGTCGATTTGGGCCCATTCCACATCTCATATGAGAGTAACGTTACTGCGAAACACTTATCCGCGTCAGAGGTCTTATTAAGTTTGCCATTTATTTTCGCTAAGATGTTTTACGTTGAAAGACATTGTCAGTCTAATTCACACTTCTGCAAACACGGAGGCAAATGAAGAATTAGCACTTGTGAGCCTCATCCGCCACCAAATCCTGTCTCATTTGCATCTCCTAAACAAGTCCTCCAGTCTTTTTTCCCAACTGTCCTCTAGCCTTTCTTTCCAATCTGCTCCCTCTTCTAGTTCTCTAGACCAGATTGCGCCCCCCGGAGGTTGGGAGTTTAAAAAAAAAAGAGTGAAAAAAAAAATCTTTCTGAGTAGCAACATACTGGTTCATTTTTTCCTCCCTGAAATTTCACTTTTGGGTTTATTTAGTCCAACGCGTTCCCGTGAGCAATATTCAAGTAGTTGCCCTCGTGAACCTAACCACTCACCTCCGACGGTCAATTTCCCATTTTGATATTCAAACGAGGGGGAAGGAACGGGTCCAAAGGAAAACAGCTGGGAGCTGGCCAGCTTCCGAGAACCGAGATCTTTGGTGATCAGAAGGAAGGGCAGCTTCGGCGGCGGCGGCGGCGCGTCTGTCGCTGTCCAGTCCTCGGTGCTGAACATTAGATACTGCTCTGTCTCCTGCCAGATTCCTCCCCTCGAGTTCTGCACAGGTTCTGCCTTGCTAGACTGAACTCATTTCTTTCGGTTGGAGGGAGGAGTTCATTTAGACGTTCGCTTGTTCTCTTTCTATGGGAAAACATTCTTCCAGAAAGACACTTTGTGCATTTTATAGAAAAGTAGTGGCACAGCTTTAGTTCAGCACCAAAGTGAAGAACTCTAACGCGGCAAACATGGAAAGTTCAGGGTCAATACAACCTGCTTTTTTCCTCCCTGAGCCAATAGGACAGCATTTGGTACCCAGGAACCCTTGTTGGTAAATTAAAAAATAATATTCTGCTTTTGAAAATCATGGGATTGTTCATTTTTTCTGATTAGCATTTTAATGGTGGTGGTGGTGGTAGTGTTGAGCTGTGCACTGTCTGGAAGATAATTTTAGACATTGTTTTATTGAGGTTGAGAAATAGAATACCAGGAAGAAAACTCTTAACGCAAGGTGGTTGGAGTGGTTAAAGATTCATTTTTTTTAAGTACTGCTTTAAAATTGTCTTGGAGACATGCTCATTTTCTTGGACAATTCAGAGCAGAATTTGGCCAGCTGTCCCACCACCCACCCCCGCCCCTGCCCAGTTTGAAAGATATAACAACCCTGTTTTCTGTGGCACGCTCTGATACCCAAAGGGCATAAGACTCCCACTCCCACTTTCCACCCCACCCCCAGCACAAACATGCACAGGAGATAATAAAATAAACACAAAGAGCCTGGGTGGGAGGGAGGGGACGTGCCTGTGGCTCTCGGTAGTTACGTCCAAATGGGGCACTTCTCTTTGAGAAGTGAAGATGTTTCTCCTTGCTACAGACAGGGAGCAGAATGAACTGATCCCAGCAAACGGTTTCTTCCTTTCCTGAATCCCCCGCTGCTTATTTTAGCCGCTTCTCCACCCCGCCGGGAATACCATCCAGATCTTAGTCCAGGTAGATCTGACGTCAAGCGATGGCTTTCGTCGATTTGACGTGTAAACACTCATTTCCATTCTGGCTGGGAAGGGCTGGGGCTCCTCTCAGCCGGGAGACCAAAGCGCTTCCCCGAGCACTCGCAGCCGCCCGGCCTCTGCTAGAGCGCCTCCCAGCTCTTCGCAGAGCAACCGGGAGCCAGGAGTGATTCAGAGCCCGCGGAGGGGGAAGATCCGGGCTGCTGGCTTTTTCTCCTATATTGCTTCTTTTCCCTCGCTCCTTCCCACTTGTGTACGACTGAGTGCGAGAGCCATGGAGCGGAGAGCCTGGAGTCTGCAGTGTGCTGCCTTCGCTCTCTTTTGCGCTTGGTGTGCACTGAACAGTGTAAAAGCGAAGAGGCAGTTTGTCAATGAATGGGCGGCGGAGGTCCCCGGGGGCCCGGAAGCAGCCTCGGCCATAGCCGAGGAGCTGGGCTATGACCTTTTGGGTCAGGTAAGAGTTTGCACTTTCAAGAAACTTTCTGGGGCTCGAGGGAGATGGTGGGACTGGAGCGCGGGCTCCCAAGCGGACCCGGGTTGCGCTCTGCTGTGCCCACTGTGGCAAAGAGCAAGGAGCTGCTCCAGCTCTCGCCCCGGGAGCGCTTTAGGATGGGAGCAGGCTTGCATTATTTACTATTTAGATCGGGCACAGCCAGGCAGAAGGCTGCGGCTACAGCTGGTAGAGCTCTCGCTTGCTGCTGTCGGCTCTAGTATTGAAACCGGTTCCCGCGCAGGGGTTGCGCTCTGCTGTGCCCACTGTGGCAAAGAGCAAGGAGCTGCTCCAGCTCTCGCCCCGGGAGCGCTTTAGGATGGGAGCAGGCTTGCATTATTTACTATTTAGATCGGGCACAGCCAGGCAGAAGGCTGCGGCTACAGCTGGTAGAGCTCTCGCTTGCTGCTGTCGGCTCTAGTATTGAAACCGGTTCCCGCGCAGATTCGCGGGGGGGGGGGGGGGCCTCCCACC